ATAAATAAACTAATGGTCACCCAAGAGAATACCCCTGCAATATTTCACAGTGATCCGCGGTGACAATATCCCGCAGCGCAAACTTCCCCCGATCGAGTAGACGAGCGGAAAGTCACAACTATCGCAGGGACATCGCGGTGACAGTCCACCCGTAAACAAAACGCGGGGATCGGCGGACTTTGGAAAAATTGCTTGAGCTGTACTGTAGTTACTGATAATGCTAAATCCCGTCCTTGCCGTTCCAATTAAGCCAGGTTTAATTGGCAAATTATAGTGTTTAGAATCTGATTAATTATTAAAGTTTAACACTGACAAATTTTTCTTGGCATTTTCCCTTTTGAAATCTGAATTGAGGGGTCTTAACATTCACTTCCTGTACGAAATTTTCTGCACGGAAATGGGGCGGAATTCAAAGGCAGATTCCGCCCAGAAATTTAAATTCTCCCCCGAATATACAAGTGTTAAACCATTTGCTTTTGGCACGGATTCCAGCCGGATTCCAGGCGGAAACGGGACGGATTCTGGGGCGGAATTGGGACGAAATATGCAAATGAGTTGGGGCGGAATTTTGAAGCGGAATTTTGGGGCGGAATTTTGAAGCGGAACCTTGGGGCGGAATTTCGGGAGGGGAATTGTCGAACAAAGATTCTGGCGGAATTCTGGGACAGAATTCAGGGGGTGGAATTTTATAAGTTTAACATGATCACATATTTTGGATAAAATTATCACATTAAATTTTCTTTCACAAAATTTAATATAAAAAAATATCATATCCTTTAGTCCAAATACAGAATAGAATACCCTACATTCACTATAACACAACCAGTCTTTTTTCTAGCTGCAGGTTTTGGAATCTTAGATCCAACACTTTGTTTTTTTTTGCAATTATTTTTGCTGGAAGGGTTTCAATCATAAATTTGTTTCAAATGTTTCTGATTATTTAAATTACTATTTCTTTAATCCATGTCTGTTTTAAGTCCACTGCCTGTGTTTCCTAGAACTTCTTGTGTTGTGCTCACCTTTAATAATAAAATTCATAATTAATTGAACAAAAATTTTGTAATGAATTAAATGTTTTATTGCATAATCATATATATGCAGTTATATTTTATATTTTTTAATAATATCAAATTTTATGTTTCAACAGTATTAAATATTAACTATGCTTATAAAGCATATTAAAAAATAGTAAAGCAACACAGAATCAGTTATTCAAGTGTACAAGTGTTTAAGAATTGCTCTGTATAAGAATTAACTGACTGCTTTATGTGTGACACTATTTATTACCGGGTATGTATTTTCAAGGAAAGATGTAGAATAGTAAAGTATTGAGATTTAAAAATATACCTTTTCAGGATAAATACTGCATATCATTATTAAACACCTGGCATCTCACAGTCAGCATTAAGTCCCTGAGCAGCCTGCAAATATGAATGTAAAATGTAATTTTAGATTGTTTCCATTGGAAACACAACACAAACATGTAAAATAATAAATGATTATGATGACCCTGTTTCAAACTGTACAAACTACTGATTGTACCATTTAGTCCTATTTAATCAAATTTATTTAATTTGTTTAATTTTCCAGGAAATTGAAAAGATATACTTACATGCTATTTTTATTACAATATACACATCATTATATTAACAAAAAATCATTGAATAATTTTTTATCTTGCAAATAATACATGTATTAAAGATTTAAAACAATTATCAGAAAAAAAACAAATGTACGAAGTTGAAAATATTAAAACAACAATTACCTCTAATGTTACAAATTTTAGTTGGCTATTTAGTATTGATAGTTTTCATATAAAATTAATGTAACTAAAGGTTTATAATTACCTGATTATGTTATACATCTCCTGGTCCCATGTTATCATACCAATTACTTTAACACTTTGAGATCTTAAACAAAACTTTATTCCAAAATTGTTAAAATAACAAGTACATCCTCTGTAAATTTTGCACTCTTTTTGCTGACCCAGATATCTTAGAATTCAAAATTCACAAACAGTTTACTGTATAATTTGACCGGTCCATCATTATGTAAAACAGGGTTTATTTACTCATCATCTTAACTTTCATTCATTGATGTAAAAGAAAAAATCAAATAACAAATAGATATTTATAGATTTTAAAAACAATTACAAATTTTGTACAAAAAAATTGCAATATGTCCTAGACAAATTCTACATATGCAATTTCTAATGTTATCTCTCCCCAAAATAATTACATGGAACAGCCTGATCTGTTGGAATGACCAGTTGAGTAAATTAGTCATGCGTAGATGATGGGAAACTGCTGGTCAGTAGAGTTTTATCAGAGCTCTGATCTGTGTAGTGTAAAATCTCAGTGAATATACATTGTAAGTATTTATTTACCTATGGTAAATAAAAGCAATTATTGGGCATACTGGTTGATCAATTTTATATAGATTAAAGGGGCATAATATATGAGATTATTTCATGCACTGTTTTGTTTCTGTTTATTTTATTTTAAACAAAATCATGAATTCTTAGAATTTAAAATGGCAAGCACACTTATAATCTAGTCCCGATGTGACTGCCCTATATTATTTTAATGTTGCTTTCAGATGATATCCTTAAATCGTATTTAAAAATTCATAATACAGTTAATGTATTATAATACAAGCTGTATGAAAAATCTTTATATTATAAACTTAAGCATTTTGGAGGTGAATGTTTTCAAGTTCTACACTAAGATTATTACAGTTGTTTTTCAGTACAAAAAATATAAATTAGTCTGCCAATGTATCATTAATGCCACATTTTTTTATTTAAAAAGAAGGCCTATTTTTAATGTCTAAAAAAAATAAATATATTAATTCTAAAAATACACCTGTAATTATTGGTTCAGCAAAAAAAATAAGTACAGTAGGTAAAATGTTTGCAAATGCAAAAACAAGAGTACAATTATGATTTGGACATCTTATATGTGAAATTCTGTTCAAGAAAAATGTTTAAGTATAGAATTCCGCCCATAGTGAAGACTATTCCTTCCCAAAAAATTTCAAAATTGAAAATTCTGTCCAAGATGAAATGTTTAAGTATAAATTCCGCTCAAAATAAAATTCCAGCCGGAATTTTTCTAGTTTTCCGCCCAGAAAAGTGAACAAAATATTTTTCTTGTGAGACAGAATGGCACGGATTTTGCGTTTCCGTCCCTGGTCCGCCCAGAAATCACTGATTCCGTGCCAATTCCGTGCCAATTCCGCCCAGAATCCGTGCCAAAATTTCGTACAGGCTAGCACGCATGCGAGATTACAACGAAATTAGGCAGCATTCGTTAGAGACACTGGGAGGTAACTTTGGCATTGATTTCCGTTTTCATTTAAAAAAAAATTGTTTCTGGCTTCCATAACTTTATATGTTGCTTTTATTTTGACGTTTTGCAACAGTAAACAGGTCTATCAGTTCTATAAAAACTGTTCGCTGAAGTCTCTTTAGCTAGAAATATATGTGCATTTGATATCCGATATTTAAAAAATGGAATCGATATCGAATCGGATAACAAAGATCGTTGATACACCGATATCGATTGAATCGATGACACCCCTTGGCCCTATATACATGTATATAATATAAACAAGGCATACAAGTTGTGGCCTCCCATTTCCAGCACGGGTTCGTAAAAAGCATTGACACGTGTAAAATACCATCTTTTCCATCAAAAGTTATTGTAGAAGTTAATCATCGATCCTGGTGGGAAATTTTAGGGATAATTAGGGCTCATCAGATGGGTGGAAGTCATTTGAGTGTCGGCACTTCTTTGGTAGGGAATACACATGTGTAAACATCAAAGATTGGCAGATTCTTTTGAAGAGCAGACTAGTCAATTGTCAGAGGTCATCATGTGTGTAAATTTTGCGTATGCAATGATTTTTCTTGCTTAATTGGGAAGAGGCCTTAGCCTCTTTAATTTGGGAAAAATTATCGCTAAAATTGCTTATTTGGGAAGAAAAAAAGCAGGTTTAAGTTCAGATTTTTGGGAAAACTGCATGATTTTTAAGAAAATTTCAATTGGGAAGAGGCCCTTTTTCGGAGTCTGTTATATAAATCACTGGTAATTTTTGCGTATGTTATTTAAGTTGGAAACATTATATCTCATTTATTTATTGATGCTACTTTGTTGGCGAGTGTTTTCGTGTATTTTCGCACAATTGAATATTGACAGTCTGCGATGAATTTTTGTTAAAGTTTAAAATTTTTAAAACAGGGGGCAAATTATCTGACCTTTAGAAATTTAAGAAGACAAATGCTGGGTGTGTTATTTTTTTTCAGATGTACATATGTATTTTAGTAAATTACCGTGTGTAAACTGTAATAAATTGATCATTGGTCACCCAAGAGAGCGGAATGTCCCTGCAATATTTCACAGTGATCAACAGTGACGATATTCTGCAGCACAAATTGCACCCGATCGGGTGATAACAGAAAGTCAAAACTGTAGTAGGGACGTTGCCGTGACAATCCAACCTTAAAATAATTGCAGGGATTGACGGACTTTAGTAAATTGTTAAAGCTGTACTGTGCATTTATCGAAAGTAGATTTATAATTGATATTGAGATATGTTTCTTATTTCTCTTATGGTTAATAAAGTTTCCTTGCTTATAATTCCAAAGAAAAAAAGACACAAAAAAAGTCTCGAGATGACATCTAACATGTCTTCCAAGTTCTACTTTAGACGTAGAAATGGTTGAATTGATTTTGGCTGCTCAATGAGGAACAATTAATATCTACTTCTGTATAATATGTGATGACCGTTTCTAACAGCGAATCTTAGATGAGCAAACTGGGGCTAATATATGGCCCTCTAGTGATAGTAGCAATGCCTTCATTGTATGTCAAAGTTCATGGTCCCTTAACTGGGGCCAGCTTTCAGGGCATACAAGTGTTTGTGATCAGTCATAGTTAATAATGGTTTTCCTTGGATTCTTACAAATTGTAGCTAAAAATATTTTTTGTTTGTTTTAGAAATCAAGATGGCACATGAGATACATTTAAAGAATAACAAATACCGGCAGTGGGTTAAGGCTGGCCTAGGCTTGGGTTATCTTAAAGAGGGACTTGCGCCATTTTGTGATGACATTGGAAGACAGCAGCACAACGATATTATTAACAAAATACAACAAACAAAGACTCCTCAACCAAACGTACCATGTGGCGACTGTCAGATAACAACTCTCCAGCCAGATCATGTCCGAGTCTCAAAAGGGATATGTCCCCTCAAACAAGATAAATGTAACTGTTGTTTTCCTAATAATAAGAGACCCTGTCCAAACAACGTATGTGGTGCCATCTATGACAGCATTATACAGTATCATGCATCAATACCACCGGCACCTTTTTGGAAAAACAGTGATGTCCAACAGTGGTCAACAGAACCATGGGAGGTTTGCAAATGTTTTATAAATGCTCCTGGGTACAAGGACAAGACATCAGCAGTCGACACTGATTGCACGGGGTTGCTTCATGTTATCATAAATAACAATTACTTTCATAGCCATATTGGATGCAATGTTACCGGACAAAACAATCTTTTTTCAAAAGTAACTAGATTTGTATACTATAATTATTATGTTTATTTTAAATTTTGTAGAATATTAAGCTTTAATGTAATATTAAGTCTGTTAATTAAGTATAAAAGCAAAAGAGAATATTTTTACCTTAGTGCAGTTATTGATTAACTCTTTATTATACCCCCAAAAATGAAGTTTGGGGGGTATATAGGAGTCACCCGGTGGTCAGTTGGTCGGTCGGTCCAGCGGTCCGTTGCATTTTCCTTGTCCGGAGCATAACTTGAAAACTAATGTTTGGAAGTCAATATAACTTCATACAATGGTCAAGCACATTGAGAGGAAGTGCAGTGCACAAGAACCATAACTCTATCTTGACTGATTACAGAGTTATTGCCCTTTGTTACTTTTCCTTGTCTGGAGCATAACTTGAAAACTACTGGATGGAATTCAAAACAACTCCATACAATTGTCAGGCACAATAAGGGGAAGTGCAGTACACAAGAACCATAACTCTATCTAAAGTAATTACAGATTTGTCTGCCCTTTGTTACTTTTCCATTGCTTTTTTTGTCCGGACCATAACTTAAAAACCACTGATTGAAATTCAAAACTACTTGATAAAATTGTCAAGCACAATAATGGGAAGTGCAGTGCACAAGAACCACAGTTTGCACAAGAACCATAACTGTATCTAAAGTAATTACCGACTTATTGCCCTTTGTTACTTTTCCATTGCTTTCTTTTGTCCGGACCATAACATGAAGACTAATGGTTGGAATTCAATATAACTTCATACAATGGTCAAGCACATTGAGAGGAAGTGCAGTGCACAAGAACCATAACTCCATCTTGGCTAATTACAGAGTTACTGCCCTTTGTTACTTTTCCTGCCAGAGCATAACTTAAAAACTACTGGTTGGAATTCAAAACAACTTAATACAATTGTCAAGCACAATAAGGGAAAGTGCAGTGCACAAGAACCATAACTTCATCTTGACTAATTACAGAGTTATTGCCCTTTGTTACTTTTTCATTGCTTTTTTTTTGTCCGGAGCATGACTTGAAGATAAATGGTTGGAATTCAATATAATTTCATACAATGGTCAAGCATAGTTAGAGGAAGTGCAGTGCACAAGAACCATAACTCCATCTTGACTAATTACAGAGTTATCGCCCTTTGTTACTTTTCCTTGTCCGGACCATTACTTGAAAACTACTGGTTGGAATTCAATACACTTCACTTCATACAGTTGTCAAGCACATTAAGAGGAAGTGCAGTGCACAAGAACCATAACACCATTTTGACAAATTACAGAGTTATTGCCCTTTGATACTTTTCCTTGTCCAGAGCATAACTTAAAACATACTGGTTGGAATTAAAAAAAAGTTCATACTATGATCAAGCACAATAAGAGGAAGTGCAGTGCACTAGAACTATAACTCTGTACAGAGTAATTATAGAGTTATTGCCCTTTGTTGCTTTTCCATTGCTTTTTTCTTGTCCAGAGCATAACTTGAAAACTACTAGTTGCAATTCAATACTTTTTCATACAATGGTCAAGTATATTGAGAGGAAGCACAGTGTACAGAAATCATAAATCTTTCTAGACTTATTTAAAAGTTTTTGCCCTTTGTTGCTTTTTATTGTCCAGGGGCCGTATTCACAACTGATCTTAAGTTAATTTTTTGACTTAAATATAAGATTTTTCTTATATTTTGAGAAATTATCTTAGATTTAAGATAAGAATCCGCAATTTACTTAAGTGGTATTCACAACTGTTTTTTATCTTAAGTTTTGTCTTAAGATGGACAATTTTTGTCTTAAATATAAGTCAGCTACTACCCTATCTTAAAGTTAAGAAATTTCTTAACTTGGCAGTAAATCATCTTAAAAATGGCGGACGGTAAATCGTCGATTCGATTGAAAACTTGCGTTTTTTACTAGTATTAGATATATCATTGAGGTATTCAACGCCAATAATTACAGCAATAATGATTTCGTTCAAAGTAATTTATACACACGATAAGTGTGAGTAAAACAAGGGAGTTAAATCGGCAAAAATTGAAGACGCAAAGGAGACGCTCATTTCACAAACCGGAGTATGATCGTCAGTTTCTCGCTGGTAAGTACTTGTAAAGAAAATATTTGTGCACAGAAAAATGTAAAATGTCGGTTTGTGTGTTGTTCTTTGAGAAAAACATAACCGCTAAACGCTTACGAGTGTTTATTTGGAATGTCACTGGTTTTCGCGAGAATGACTTATGGCTATCACCACAGGTGCTAGTTGCATTGATTTGACCTAAAATGTGTTTGACCTTGTTATTTATACAATAAAATATCAATATATTAAAAAAAACAAAAAACAAAAAAAAAATTTCACTGTTATAGATCTAGATCTATTATTAATTTTTTTTTTTTTTTTTTTTTTTAATATAGAATCTATTGATATTTTATTGTATAAATAACAAGGTCAAACACATTTTAGGTCAAATCAATGCAACTAGCACCTGTGGCTATCACAAGCTTGCAATGCTTAGCAGATAATTTTAATTGAATAATTTACATATGCAAATTGATAATGTTCCGTATTACCGATGTGTTTATTAACCTGACACATGCTGAATTGATTATGATTTGCCCCACTGATGATTCGCCCAAGAACGTTTCGCCCCACTTTTTTGATGGTTCACTTCAGATTAGAGACGATTCGTCCTACCTTAGAATGATCCTTTTAAACATCCTTTAGGTTATTAAAATAAATAAATGAAAAGACGAAATGTTTTTTTTTTGGTAACCATTTATTTGTGAAATATTCCAATAAAATGTTCTTTGTATTTAGCAAGTGTGCTACCATACGCGCCCGTACTGGGTGCCAGAAGTTCTAGCTGTATGTGAGTCACATATATCTAGCCAATACACACTGTTGTGGCTAGCCGTACAGTTGTTTTTCAATAATAGATAAATGCAATGATGAAGTCAGTAATTTGCAGGTCTTATAAGTTATTACATTTTCACACAGAATGAACATACATATTTTTTTTAAATAATATTACCGATGATGTTCGGCCATTATATTATCATGATGACAAGATATCGGATAGATCCAGCAGGTTTTTTCTCTCTGCTTTTGTTTATTGGTGCCGGTACCCAGACTGTTATTTTGACTCAAATTTTATTAAGCATCTTTTCAGCTACAAATAAGATTAGCCATAATGAATAAAGACAGTTAACATCATCCAGTGTCCAGGTAGAACTATTGAGTGGTAATTAATATAAATATAATCATTTTAGAGAAATATCATGGCCTGCTGGAATTTTGAACAGTCATTTTTGAGAATTTTCTCATTAGAATTTGGGAATTTTTATGTATAGGTTAGTGTTTAATAATATGCATTAACAAAAATAATTGGTCAAGCCTGCCGCAGGCAGGCGACCAATTATTTTTGTAATGCATATTATTAAACATTAACCTATTTAATGATCAACATTATTTTTTTCAACTAACAACAAGGCATTTTCTCTAAATTACCTATAGCTCCGCCCTTTCGCTCTACAACATGTCTACACCTTGTCAAGTTGCTAACATGTCACATTTAGATAAGCTAAATAAATGGCCCAGGCACATTTTTTACTGAAATGTCACAGAATTTATACCTTTATCTACAGTAAGACTATCATGTTTATAATATATTTGGAAAAAACAGTGAGGAAAACGTTGCAATTAGGTAAAAACAATGGAGTTAATGAAATGTGTACATCCTTTTAAAATAAATGGAAAATGTGAGAAAAAAATACATTAGAGATTATTTATTGATACAATTTCGTTATTAGCTTCAAGTTTAATCACTACATTTAAAATCCCTATTGATTTGCTCATTTGAAAAACAGTTCATTTTTTTTTCTGTGTGAAGGGGGTCCATTTTCAATGAGTTTTTCCAGCCAAAAAAATGTAATCATTGTATTCTTGATATCAATGATTGTTAATGCAGTTTATTCCTATCAAGTGAAAGAAAATAATGTTTGGTTACTTTTTCTATAAAATATAAAGTTTAAAACAGTCAGCAATTTATAACAGTCATTTTTCTTAGAGTTCAAAGGATATAAAAAAAGTTAATATGCAATCATTTGTCTCTGCGTACCCAACATGTATTATCTATGTAATAAATCAGTTGATTGTATCCTCGCATTTAGAAAACACTGACCTCGACTAATTTTTTTTATGTTGGCATTGTTTTGCTAACTTTGACATTTTACAAATCAGAGTGTAAACCATACCTCTAACTCCTCCCTAATATAATGCATTATTGAAATTTGTTAGACTGCGGTTAGACGACAGATTAAGTGAATTTTATTTAGTTAGTACACATTAACTAAAGTTAGACAAAGCAGAAATTTGAAAAATACTACAATGTGATTGGACAAAAAATAATGTTGATCATTAAGTCTTTTTACCATTGGGAACAGTACCTTTTTTGAGTAGTAGTTATAACTTATATAAAGAAAAAAACACTGTTATCTATCAGAAATAATTTCACCTTTAATTGAAGTGTTTTCGTTAGCCAATGGAAATTCTGTACATGTTATTTACAAGTTTTAATTATTAAAAATACTTTGTCATGATCTACATGTAACTACTGCTGGATATTGACCCACAGACTTTAGGTCAATTATACAGTAGTGTTCTTGTGCAGTCAAAG